ATTCATATACCCGTGAGTGTACCTGAAAAACATCAGGACAGATTGTTAGGGCTTTGTACCAGTAACTTACATTCACTCTTTTTGGTTTCAGCTATTCTTAACTTTGGGCAAAAATTCATTTCTGGTCAACATCACAGCATGCAGCKGTGTGCAGAGAGCCATTCACTCCTTAATACACATTTGTACCACGGCATGATCAGTTGGGCTCCACCACCAATAAAGCAGAGGAGCCCAGGCAACAACCAGCCCAGTAGGGTTTTAATACAGTGATTGGTCCTGCAGAGAGACAAGAGGGGCCTCCCGGGATGGGGACATCTCATCAGGGCAGCTAGACATGCCAACCCTTCAGCCAGAACACTGACAGCTTTGTTCCTGAAAGATGATATTCTGCTGCTGTAAGTCTTGCAAAAGACATTAGAGGTATACAGCTCACACCAAAGAACACCTCCAGCCCAGTCCTTTCCTGCCATAACTCACCCCACATACACACTAAACAAAACACTGTATTGAAAACAAGAAATCCATGAAGACAAGAATCAGAAAAGAGAGAGACAGAAAGAGAGAGAAATAAAAATGGCTGTCCTAAAATAAGCTGACATCTCTTGAGGCTTAGGCACCTGAGAATAACTACAAACCAGTTCAGTGGGGAAGTCACATGATGGGGAGATGCTGTCCTCTGGGTAATTTGATTTAGCCTTGTCTATAAAATTCAGAGAATCCAATTCACTTCTGTGCCAGATTTAATCATCAGGTGATGTATGGTGGGGCTCCAAACGATGTCACCCTTTTTTCATTTCATTGCTTCATTTCAAGGTCACGCCCCTGGGTTTGCATTAGTGAAGACAGTGATGTTACTAAATGTTTGATGCTTTAAAATTTCCCATTGGGTAAGCACTAAGCTTCCATGCTGGGTACAGAACACATTTCTTTGATTTAACTCCAACTAGACCTTGGCTCAAAAATCACATTGAGAAACTACTACTGCATTATTTTCCCCGCCCCATATCATTGAACTCCACCGCACACAATCCCCAAGGTGTCTTAACACCAAAAACAGCTTAATATTAATGCTTCCATGTCCACGTGTTGTCCTATGATCARTAAAGTCTATGACTGCTTTAATTAAGATGATGCATGCAGAGTCACATGTGTTTTGATCTTCTCTCTAGAATTCCCAGTTATGAGGACATAAAATGTGCAAAGTGTTTCTGGGAATAATTCAACTCCCTTTAAAGCCTTGGTGAGCAGGACCAGGCCAGTCTGGAGAGTCTTCTGACATCCCCCTCACTCGCCAAGAAGATTTCAAAGAGCTTCCTCCACCCAGAGAATATCCAGGGTCTTCGTCCCTTTTAAAGATGCATTAAAGGGAGAGAGTGACAAAGATCAGGAGGAACAAACTCCTGCCTAGCCCCTGGGGGCTCCGGATTCGTGACTCGTGGTAAAGGAGTTGGAAGGCCTCCACGTGACTTCTTTCCCAGATCATGTGCATTTTAACAGGAGGAGAGGTGCTGTGCCAAAGAAGTGAAGCTCTAAGTGGAATTCCTGCCTCAGCCCTGGAGAGGAAGGGGTGTCTCCTTGCACCTTTCCCACCAGCAAAGCAGTTCAGGGCTGGGGCCGCTGGGAAAGGTGACCACCCTGCTTGTGAGTCCAAGGCTTAAGGGAACATTTCTTCCCATGCAGCAGCCTCGGTCACTTAGCCTTGCTTTAGAAACCAGAGGGGAGTTGCTTTAGTGGAGCTGTTTCTTTTCACATCTCCTCAGGGAATTTAGAAAATAAGGTGTGAGAAATGCACCTTTGCCTTCCCCGAAGTCTCCACTGCCCTCTCCAGGGGCTGTTTTCGGGGACCAGACGTCACCATTCTGAAAATAAAAAGGCCAAGCAGATGTGAAGAGCAACTTGGGGGACTTTTATGAAAAGATGAAGATTCCTTGATCGCTCTTCAGGGAAAAAAAAATCAAAGAGAAAAAAAAACCTGAAATAGGAATAGGTAATACTGAAAATGACTGAAGATTTGGAGATTTGGATGTTCCTGATGCAGGTATCCATTTCTGCGACTGCAGAGATAAACAAAAGTCACCTGTTGGAGCCACTTTGGTGTCACTGCCTGAAAGGTGGACCACCACCAGACACCTGGGGACCCCTGAGGTGTGCGGAGATATGTATTCATACCTCACATGAGATGACAGCAGGTCTTTTAAGAAAATCTTCAAAACACCGACAGCTCTTGTTCTGCCTCCACCTCCCTGCCTTGCTCTGTGACCCTAGAGGCTGGCCCTCGAGGACCACACCCCACTATTTCCCCAGCCAGCTGGAGTCTGGAAGGGGGCAGCCAATCTGAGGCACTGGCAGAGATCAGAAAGCAGGAGGAGGAGGAAGATCAGGGTTCAGGCTTCCTGCTGCTCCCTGCTCTTTGTTCTCTAGGACTTTCTCTTGCCCCTGAAGGTCACCCTGGCGCTCTCTCTCAGGGTTCCAGTGACTATTTCCTTCTACTCCTTCAACAACTTTCTGCTATTGCCAGTTTCCGGGTGCCCCAGTACCCCCAGCTGATTGCCTTGGACCTTCCTCCACCTGTCAATCAGCTGCAATCTCCAGCCTTCAGCCGCAGAACGCAAAAGCAACCTGGCTGCTGCTTTTGCCACCTCGGAGATCCCCAGAGTTGGTACCCATCTTCCTGCTCCTGCGCAGGTGGGTACTAAACAGAAGACTTTTCAAATACAATTTGTGAGAATTTTTCTTCCCTTCCCTAATTTCCCACAGTGACAGGAGCTCCTGAGCAGGACTGTSTCTTTAAATCTCTAGCTCATACAAGCACAATCGTGAGGTCAGAGGTATTTTCTCTTTGACATCCATTCTTTCTAGGATGGCAATGTCATCCGTGAACAGATTTGTGAGCCCCTGTCCTCACCCCAGAGGTCTTACTCTGTCAGAGAACAGTTCACAGTCACTAGGGAGCTGGTCTTCCTATCAGACCTGGCTGTCAGCAGAGCAGACTGAAGTGTTCGCTTAGGGAATGAGGGAGGCTGACTTGCAGGTCAAGGGTGATTCTCCTCCACTTTGGTCCAATTGCTGTTTTGAAGCAAATATCACAACTGTAGAGAGTCTGACTTCATTTAATATAATTCAAAGAAATTTCCCTCTAATCTCCCCAATTAACATTCTCCCATATGCACAACGTCAAGGTCACAATCCAGTATAATATTCCCACGTCCAAAGTGTATCTCTTCTTTCTCCAAGTTCCGACTCACCCAGCCTCAATCRCCCCCCTTCCCTAATGTGTATTTTCTCCCAACACTCTTTCTCCTGGGTAGTTTTTCATGGGGCAGAGTGCCCAACCCACATTCCTCAAAGTCATGGACTCCAGACACCTCACTGGTCATGGCTTTGAGAAGCAGACACATGCAGCCAGCTGTGTGGGTGCAGTTCCAAGGCCTTCTTCACGGTTGCCTGCAGCTGCTTACAATTTTAAAAAGACCTTCTGCATCCAGAATTTCCAAGGTGATCCAAGGCAGGGGTGTAGAGAGGACTTTCTTAGTCTGGATTCTGTATGATTTGTTCCRGAGGACAATCCATATTTTACTGAGAAAATGTTTGGGACAGCACAGCTGGCTGCCCTAGACCAGGCTCCTGGGGAGACCAGGGAAAGGTTAATTATAATTTACAGATGCCCTTCATTGCTCAGCTGTGAGGGTGAGATCTGTAATCAGGGCAACCAGAGGGGGGCTAGCAACAGGAATCTGCAGGGAGAATTTTAAAAATTTAGACTTATACTTTTCCCTTCTGTTATGTGGTCGGTGAGCACCTGCCATCAGGGATGCCCTAAGACCAGGGGACTATGGAAACAGGGAAATCATTCCATAGCCGAGCACGGAATGTGCTCGGTGTGGGGGCAGCTGCAGAGCAGGTGAGAATGGTTTTCACCTTCCGTCTGGTCCGGGGCCAACCAGTGCCCCTTGATGGAAACCTGAGAGTTAAAAGCAAGCCAGGGCCATCCGCACGAGAGACATCTGAAGCCACAACTCCTTCCCACCTCTGGACTTCCCTGGTGGGAAAACCATGGTGCTGTCCCAAACTCGGGAGCCAAAGAGGCAGCTTGTTGGGTGCCAACATTACTGCAGAGGAGGGTACCAGAAAGCCTCCGATGACCCAACTCCATGGTGCACCCTGGGGTGATGTAAATGCAGCCACCACAGCCTTCTGGACCCAGCGGGGTGTTTCTGATGGGATCCCACTCCAAAGGCACTTTAATCTATCTTTGCTGCACGTTATAAATAAACTCTAGGGGGTCTCTATGGTTAACAAGGTTTCTTCCTCTCCAACATTTGATCATTTATCAAAATCTTTTTGCCTTGGTGAAAAGAATTTAAAATGAGACTCTATTAATATATGAATGAGTTAAAAATGACGTGCATCTCTGCCTCTGTGAATTTTGCACCCTGGGATTTTAAAATGCCTTGTAGTTTTGAGCTTTGGTCCCACCAAAGTTTTTCACTCTGGAAATTGACCTGTTCATGGGTCATGAAAATAAATCAGGGGTGCATGATACCAGGGATTCATCTTGGGGCACTCGACTACTGAGCCACATCCCCAACCTTATTGTATGTCATTTAGAGACAGGGTCTCACTGAATTGCTTAGTGCCTCACTAAGTTGCTGAGGCTGACTGTGACTCGTGATCCTCTTGCCTCAGCATCCAGAGCCACTGGGATGACAGGTGTGCACCACCGCACCTGGCAGAGTCCAGGATTTTAATCATTACATTATACTTCCATTTAGTTTGGGTTTTCAAATTAAAAGATGTGTTGTCTTAAAACATAAGACCACATTAAAGTCAAATGACATTTCCTTTATGATTAAAATGTAGTGAGATCTTAGCTGGACTGGCTCCGACTCTCTGAGAAGCTGGTGTGGTGGAGGGTGGGGGAGAGAGGGAGGGCCAACATGGGAGGCCCCTGACATGGGACGGGCAGGGAGGAGGCGATCTGGAGAGCTTGCGGCACCCACCTCAAMCAGTGACTTGCTTATGCAGCTCTTCTTGGCCGCCCCCTGCAGCTCCATGGCCTGCTGGATGTACATTTTTCCAGCCAGGATCTCATTCTCCAGCATCGACAGTTCTTTCAATGAAATGGGCCAATTCAACCGTTCCAATGCCTTGTTTAAAGCCGTCTTGTTTTCCAAGTATCGTATTGGTTTGTTTGCATCTAACCTAAAAGCCAAAAAAAGAAACAAAAGGAAAAGAAAATGACTATAATAGAGAAAAATAGGATAAGAGAGTTTCCTCAGTCAACTCTCAGACTTCWGATGACAGAGTCACAGCCGTGCTCTCCTGTCTGTTAGGACTTTGGTAGCTGGCATAGGTTGAAACAACCACCTCCGTGAATCACTGGAGGTGCTTTTGCCCATCACCTCATTTTAAAGAAGTTTGATAGACATGAATTTTTTCAGTGACATTTTCCAGAAGATTGGAGCCTATTCTATTCTCCCTAGGCCTAACATTTGTTAGAACCAAATATGAGATTCAAGGAGATTTCACCCAACCAGGCATAGCAGTGACTCTGGAAAACAAAACAAGGTAAAGCCAAACAAAACCCAAATATTTGCTACAGTGCAGTAACTCTGCTAGCTCATTCTAGCTCTTTTAATCTTTGTTCTTCCATGTAAGCCTAAATATGCCTCAACTTTCTGGCTAGGCTGTTTGATAGACAAAGAACAGAAGACACACTTTTTGAGCTGTGGGTCTCCGGGTAAAGCTAGCATGGAGTATGGCCTTGCTCCTGGTATCTATTTCCAGTCGCTGAAGCTTCTGAGTCAGATGCTCCTGACGGAAAGAGGGGTGGGGAGAAAGACATTTCATAATCCCCACTCTCTTACCTTATCCCTTTAGATGGCAGATTTTGGGGGAGTGCAGTCTAAACTCAGCTACAGGACTCAAGTCTGCAAACTAGACTTCTCTCCGGCAGACAACACAAAATTCTTATTAAAACTCCAAATTAGAATGATATCATTAAGATAGTAGAATAAGAAGCCTGGAGCCCTTATTGCCACACAGAGACACTGACTTAACAATGTACAGACCAAATTGGTCACAGCATCTCAAACAAGTACAAAGCCAACAGGTGTCTTATCTAAGTGGGACAGAAAATTCTTTGCATTCTCCCCAAACAGTGCAGAATAACTGGAAGAATTCTCCCAAATTCTGCCTTCTCCCTGGGAAGGGAGAGTGGAATGTGCATCCAAAGTTCTTGTCTTCTGGGGTTCTGTCTAGAGAACTAGTTTCTGTCCCATTTAACTTGGAGGGCTGAAGGTAACGGTGGCATGTTTCAGATGCCAGGTTGGAATCTGCCACAGCATCAGAGACACAGCAGTACTTGTGACACGCATCATGGGGAGCAAGAGATCACAGATCACAAAATCCTGAGGAAAAAATAGGAGCAAACTTCTTTAATTGGGAAATTATACACACAAGACCAGAAAATACAAATCTCCAGAAAGGGCTTGGGAGACCCTCAGGATCTTCAGCTAGGATGGCTGGTAAAGACTTTCCCCTCTAAGAAGCCAGCCTATAAARACTAAGAGAGGTGTCTTTTAAATTTTTTTTCCAAGTACTCTAATGTCAACTAAAGATCACAAGGCATGCAAATATACAGGGAAACATGGTCCAATCAAAAGAATAAATAAATCTCCAGAAACTGTGCCTAAAGAAATGGAGACACCTGACAAAGAATTGTAAAAATATCCTACTGATGCTTCATGAGCTAACAGAGAAAGTAGACAAAGTAAATCAGAAAAGCGATATGTGAACAAAAAGAGACTTTAAAAATAAAGAACAAAATGAAAATTCTGAACTGAAGAATACAATGGAACTGAACATTTTACTAGAAGCGTTCCCCAGAAAAGAACATCAGTAAACTTTAATAAATTTTAAGTCATTAACAGCTGTGTATCAACAGAGTGAAACAGCAACCTACAGAATGGGGTAAAATGTATGTAAATCATATGCCCAAGACTTGGTTAATATCCAGAGTATGCAATAAACTATAACTCAACCCAGTTTTAGAAGTGGGCAAGGGACTTGAATAGACATTTCTCCAAAGAAGATACACAAATGGCCAAAAGGCATATGAGAAGATATTTGACACGACGAATCATTAGTGAAATAAAAGTGCAACCACAATGAGATGTCACCTCGMACCCACAAGGATGGTCACTATAAAAGTGAAATCAGACTGAAAATAACAAGAGCTGGCAAGGAGGTGGGGTAATGGAGACTCATGCACCGTTGATGGGAACATATCATGGTCCCATAAGATTACATCAACTAGGGTTAGGGTTCATCATCTTCATTTGTGTAAGCAGATGCTACAGTGTTTGATCAATGGTAAAAACATCTACTGTGGCTTTTCTCAGAATATATCCCTGGTGTCAAGTGACACATTAATGTATCAGGTAGCTTTTAAAGGAGGAAAAAAAAATTATTTCCTAACTTTAGATAAAGGAATTTAACTGTCAAGACTTTTAAAGGCATGAAAAAGTTATATAGAGTAATGGTGAAAATACTTAAAATTTCCATATCTGGTAAATATCCAGCACATAGACTTCATTCATTAATTTATTCAGTAAGTATTTACTGCAGGCCTGTGCTGTGCCAGGCAGAGCGTGTTGATAGACATGAGGTATTTCTCTGATGAATAAATAGCTAAACCAAGCCCTACGACATTCAGAGTCTGGGGAGGGAGGGGAGGTAATGGGAAATGAAATCAACCAAATTATGCTATGTGTATAATGAACCCTACTTTTATGTATAATTATAATGTAGCAATTATTTTTAAATAGAAGGGAGACCGTAGAGTAGAGGAAGGGGATCAGGGGGAAGGTGAAATGGAGGAGAAGGAGAAGTACTGAGGAATGAAGTGGAGAAATGAAATGGGGAAAAGTATGTTATGCGCACGTAGGAATATTCACAGTGAACCCTGATAGTCTGCATAATTATAATGCACTAATAAAAAACATAAAATTTTTAAAAACCTCAACAATTTACTGGTGGGAAGAGACTATAATAAGCCAGGAAATACAGAAGATATGTAATTATAGATCATGACAAATGGTAAGAAAGAAATAAAGAAATATTGAGAGGGGGAGAGAAAGAGTGCGTCAGGATGAGAGTGAGCTAGGGTGATCAGGAAGACTCTGATGAAGTGACAGTACAAAGAGCCTGTCACCCAGCCAGTGTGGGAGGGGACRTTCTAGGCAGAGGGAACAGCATGTGTGAAATGAAGAGAGATCAAACAAATCTGTCAGTTTTCACAAACCAAGACAGAGAACTTCGGCATATGTGAATACAGTATATGAAAACCTGGGTTTTGAAACRGTGCTAGAAGAGGGGATTCTTTAATTAACTATTTAGAGCTGTAGRGCAAGGCAGGCCTGGGAGAGAATCCAGATACCGTTAGCTATCAGCCGGGCGACTTYGGGAAAATGACTTAATTTTCCTACACCAGGGATTCTTAAGCTTTATCTCAATTCAGAATTGTCTGAAGGGCATCTCCCAACACAGATGGCTGCACCCCTCCCCTCTGCTATGTTGTCTTGAGAGAAACAATCTCATCTGTAAAGTTGGGGCTGATACCCCTCACATACAGGTGTCACAGGAGTGAAATGACACAGTGGGAGTGAGGTGCTTCCTGGAAGGCCTGACACACGTCTGGTGCTCAGTGAGGTCTGGCCGAATAGGACCTACACCTCTCTCCTACCTCCCTTTCTACAGTCCTGGGTCTGGCTGAAGGCATCTTTCTCCCTGACTTTCCATTCCATTCTCAACACCAATTTCCAGAACTCTGAGTGTCTCTGTTTTCTTCGGTCTTGAGTCACTGTCTATCCACCCAGTGTGACTCTGACGAGGCGCGAAACTCCTCGGGGCAGACCCTCACCTGATCCTGCTTTCATTCTCCAGGCCCACAGGCAGCCTTCAGGGAAGGTAAAACCAGATCATCTATGAATTATGAAGGTTAAATAAGGAAATGACAAGTATCGGGTGGCAGCAAGCACAGAACTCACTTAACACCTTGCTTTAGAAAGTGAGAAGTGAAGTGAGCTTGTGGAGGATGGCAGAATAAGAAAAATCAAGATCTAGGCTCTCTACCAAAACTAGTGAATCAGCTGTAACTCTATATCAACCATTTTGAAACTCGAGAATCTAGTTGAATACCTGTAGCCTCCAGAGGAGTGAATGCGTGATGAAGAAAGAGGCTGGTGTTTCAGGAAATCTCTGCCCAGTCACTGGCTGAACACAGAGAAAACGGAACAGAGGCTTCTCTGAAACACACATGACAAGGAATGTAATTTTTGTAAAACTTGTTTGGAAAAACACTTACTAGACAACCCGATAATTTCATTAAGCAATGAGGCAGATTCTGAATTCCAGAAGTATCACATTTTAATATCCAAAATGTTCAATTGTTAATCAAAAATTTTATCAAGAAACAAGAATTCTTATGTCCTATTCATAATAAAACAAAAACCTGATAAAAGAAGGTTGATGTTTGGTTTAYTTAACAAAGATTTTAACTTAATGGTCTTAAAAATGTGCTCAAAGAGATAAAAGAAACCACGAGAAGAGAACTCAAAGAAATCAAGAGAATGGTGTCTGAACAAGAGAACAGAAAATATAAGAGGAGGTAAATAGAAATAGTGAAGCTGAAAAGTGTAATAGCTGAAATAAAAAATCCATTCAATAGCAGATTTAAGTAGGCAAAAGAATCAGTGAACTTACCGGTAGGTTAAYTGTGATAACCAAGTTTGAGAAACAGCGAGAATAAAGAAATGAAGAAATATGAACACAGTCTAAGGAACCTTGTTCCAAAAAGTGACAAGAGGGGAAGGAGTAAGACACTTGAATATACATTGGTTGATAGCTTCCCAAATTGGATGAAAGATAAAAATTTATACAACCTAAGAAGTTCAGCAAATTTTAAGGGGTATAAATACAGAGAGACAAAGACAAAGAAAATATCTTTTTTTTTTCTTTTTTGGTGCTGGGGACCAAACCCAGGGCCAAGCGCTGTACCACTGAGCTATACCTCTAGTTCTCAAAAAGAGAATCCTTAAAGAAACAAGAAAAAAGTGACTTGTCATAAATAAAGAATCCTCAAGAATATTAACATTTTATTTCTCATCATCAACTATAATAGCCAGAAGGTAACAGGATGATCTATTTAATGTACTGAAAGAAAATCCAGGAATTATATATCAAACAACACCATCCTGCAAAAATAAAGACAGAACTGAGACATTCACAGATACACAAAAGCTAGGGGAGTTTGTTGTTAATAGACTTTCTCTACAAGAACACTAAAAAGAACATTTCATGCTGAAATAAAAGGATACCAAGCCATATAAAAAAATAAACATGCCTGGTAAAAATAATGACATATAAATATAAAAGCTAGTATCGTTGTATTTTGGTATATAACTCTTTAAGGTTTGTATATTATTTAAAAGACAATAACACAATAATAATTATAACTCGATGTTAATGGGTATACAATATACAAGAGGTAATCTGTGGAAATAACTAGATAAAGGGAGGACATGAAGTGACAGAGGAAGAGAGTGAATGTCTGCTATTGAAACTAATTAGATATTGATTCACACTAGAGGATTATGAATGTTTAGTGTTAACTGTGAGCCCCAAGGGAACTACTAAGAAAAACTAAAAAGTACACAGAAAAAGAAATGAATAGAGATCAAAAAAAGTAGACCAGAAAAATATAAATATTGGAGCACAATAAATGATACATCCACACATATAGAAATAGCACAGAAGTCCTCCTTTATTAATAAACACTTTAAATGTAATGGATTAAACKCCCCAATTAAGAGACAAAGATTGGCAGAATTAAAAAAAAAATGACCCAACCGAATGCTGACTCAAGGAAACTCCCTTTAGAACCAAAGAYACAAATGGGTTGAAAGTAAAAGGATGGAAAATGATATTCTGTGTGAACAGTGATCAGGAGTGGCCCAGAGTGACTAAACCGTTACTAGACAATAGAAATTTAAAGTCGTAAACTGTTACAACAGGCAAAGGATAATATTTGATATTGRTAAAAATATTAAATCAAGAAGATCTACAAATTATAAACATATCACACATCCATTAATAGAGCCCACAAATAAGTAAAGCAAATCTTGACCGAATTAAAGGGAGACAGACAGTTTGTACAAAAATAGCTGGAGACTCTAGTAATGGATAGAACATCTAGACAGAAGATCAAAAAGGAAATTGTAGATTATAAAACAGTATAAATCAGTTATACAACAGACATATACAGAATACCTCATTCAGTAACAGCAGAACATATATTCTGAAGTGCACATTTAATATTCTCCAAGGGCATACCATACATCAATCCATGACTATTCTCAAAATGCTTTAAAAGATCAAAATCAGGCCAGGTATGGTGGTGCATGCCTGAAATCCCAGAAATTTAGGAGGCTTGAGRCAGGAGGATTGCAGGTTTGAAGCTAGCTTTAGCAACTTAGCAAGGCGCCCTAAGCAATTTAGGAAGATCTGTCTCAAAATAAAAAAATAAAAAGGGCTGGGGGTGTGGCTCCATGAAAAGYGCCCCTGTGTTTAGTCCCTAGTACCAAAACAAAGCAAAACAAGATCAAAATCACAAAAGTATCACAATGGAATAGAACTAGAAATAATAGCAAAGAGAGAGCTGAAAATTTGGCAAATACATAAAAATTAAATATCACAAAGAACAACAGGTTGAAGAGGAAATCACTTGAGAAATTAGAAAATATTTTGAGATAAATAAAAATTAACACACAATATACCAAAACTTATGCTATACTGTGCTCAGAAGGAAAATTTTGGCTGTAAATACCGCATTAAAAAAAAAAAAAGATCTCAAATAAACAGCTTAACATTATACCTTAAGGTCCTAGAAAAAGAAGAGAAAACCAAACCTAAAGTCAGCAGAAGAAAGAAACAGGAAGAGTAGAGCAGACACACATATACAGATACAGTTAGACAACAGACATAAAAGTTACAAAAATTAGAAGGATTGTAGACTATGAATGGTCATATAATGGACAAATCACCTAGATATACAGATGACCAAAACTGACCCAAGGAGAAACAGATAATTTCAATAGCTTATTAAAAACATTGAATGAGGAATCAACCCTCCTCCTCCCCACCCGCAAGAAAGGGAAGTCCAGACCAGATGGCTTCATGGGAAAGGTCTATCAAACTATYGGCAAAGCAGAAATGAAAGGGAATTTCCTAAACATAATAAAACATTACACTCACCAGGTGAGGTGGCACACACCTGTAATCCCTGCGTCTTGGGAGGCTGAGGCAGGAGGATCAAAAGTTCAAAGCCAGCSTCAGCAACTTGGTGAGGCCCTAAGCAACTTAGTGAGACTATGTCTCTAAATAAGATATAAAAAGGGGTGGGGATGTGGCTTAGTGGGTTAAGTGGCCCTGGGTTCAATCCTCAGTGCAAAAACAAACAAAAACTTTACACTCAGTGGTGAAAGAAGACTGAACTCAGGAGCAATATGAGAATGTCCCCTTTCATGGCTACTTAATGCTGCACAGGATTCTAGCCAAATCAATTAGATAAGAGAAAGAGAGTCATCTAAATTGAAAAAGAAGAAGTAAAACTCTATGTGCACATGGCATGTTCCCATATACAGAGAATCCTATAGAATCCTGCACCTGCAAAACATTGAGGCTAGTAAATTCAGCAAAGTTGCAAGGTGAAAGGTCAAACCACAAATATTGGTTGTGTTTCTGTACACCAGCAAAGAACAACCAAAAACTAAGAAAATGATACCATTTACAATGGAATCCAAATGAACAAAATAACAAAAATGAAAGTCTTACACACTGAGAACTACAAAACATTGCTAAGGGAAAATTAYAGACCTAAATAAATGAAGAGACATCCTGTATCCATGGGTTAAAAGCCCTAATATTGTTCAGATCTCAATACTTCCCAAGACTCCCCAAGCAAATTGATTCCGTAAGAATTCAAGTAATCCTTATCAAAATTCCAATGGCTTTACTTTTTTCCAGAAATAAAAAATCCAATCATCAAACTCATATGGACTTTTGAGGGCCCCTGAATAGTCAAAACAACTTCAAAAGAAGAAAATAAAGTTGAAGCACTCATATTTTCCAATTTCAAAGTGTGCTGCAAAGTTACAGAAATCAAAACAGTGCCCTACTGTTATGTTTTATGTTTTATGCCCCAATGGTATAAAATCAGACATATTGGYCAATGGCATGGAATAGAGTCCAGAAATAAACTCAAATGTTCATGGCGAATTGAATTTTGACAAGGATATCAAGACCATTCAGGGAGGAAAGAAGTCTCTCTTAAAGAGCACTGGGAAAACTGGATAGYCACAGGAGGAGAGTGAAGTCGGCTCCCTGCCTCACTCCATCTACAAAACTGCACTAAAAATGGATTGATGACCTAATGTGAGAGCTAGAACCATACACAAGAAAACAGTGGGGACTCTTCAYGACCTTGGATCCAGCAGTGGATTCTCAGGTAAGACACCAAAAGCATAAACAACAACAGAAGAAAAAAGATCAGTTGGATTTCGAATGATTAAAAGCTTTTGGACATGAAAAGGTGCAGGAAGCCGTCCGTGAATAGATGAGGGCCTTCTCTTGGCAAGGCAGCCAGGAAGACGCAGGCCTGGCATTGGGAACTTTCCATGGCTCTCCCGTGGCAATAGATTGCCAATGCACGTGAATTTCCATCCACTCTGCTAGGAAGGTTCCTCATAGTAGCTCCAGAGATGGGCGTAACCCGCTAGAACTGAACAGCCCACCTTTAACCTTTTTTTTGGGAAGAACATTCTATAAAATCTCTTTGATGTCTCCTGATATAAATAAGGCAGACACGGACTCCATCTTGGTGTAGAAGCTGGATCCGTCTGATCAGCTTGCCCATCCCGCACCCACTTTGAAACTACTTTCTGTGTTCTGTGGTTTTTCCGCTGTTTTTATTTCCCTTAGCTTTTGTTTCTCAGCCAGCCCAATCCACCAAGGGCAACCCATTCCCACCGCCCACAAGGGATATAGGTGGTAAAAGGGTTTAAGATGAACATGAAAATACAAACTACTGAGTGGGAGAAAATATGGGAAAATCCTACGTCTGATAAGTGCTTAACATCTAGAAGACTCACACCTCAACCACCAAAACACAACCTGGCTTAAGAATGGGTAATGGACTTGTGTGGACATTACCAAAAATATACAGATGGACAAGAATGTAAAAAGACATTCAGGATCATTGGTCATTAGAAATGTCTATTAGAGCCACATGGTCACACATAAAACCCACTAGGATGACTTTAAATGTTTTTGTTTTTGTTTCAAGGAAAGTAGCCAGTACTGGTGGGACATTCCTGTAGGCTGCTGGTGGGGGTACAACATGGAGCAGTCCCTGGGGGCAACAGCTTGGAGGCTCTTCAAAATGTTAAGCATAGAAGTGTCACGTGAGCAGCAAATCCGCTCCTGGCCATATCCTCAAGAGAAATGAAAACATGTTCCCATAGGGACATCTACACAAGGACATTCATAATGTTATTTATGACATTATTCATAATAGCCAGAAAGTGCTAACAACCCAAACTCCCACTTATGGAAGAATGGACAGGCAAACAGAGCTGTGTGTGTGTGTGTGTGTGTGTGTGTGTGTGTGTGTGTGTGTGTGTTTTCAATACGTGTGTGTATTCAGTCTCTGATACATGCTACAGCTTGGATGAGCTTTGAAAAGCATCACGTTTCCACATTAACTAAGTAAAATAAGCAGACACCATGTCTCCTGCTGTATGATTCCTTTCTGATGATTCATCCAAAGAGGCAGATTCGTAGGGACAGAAAGCGGACTAGTGCATACCAGGGGCTGGGGAAGGGGTCGTGGGCAGCCATTGCTTCATGGATACCAGGTTTCACTTTCTGCAGTGATAAAAAGATTCTGCACCTAAAGAGGTGGTAGTTTGCCCAACATTTTGAATTCTCTCTATACCACTGAATTATACACTTCAAAGTTATGGATTTTTWCTGACCCGAATTTCGTTGAAAAWWWTTTTTTTTAAGTGAGGAGTGAATAGAAGGGCTTACTTTTGTTTTTCCTCTTGAGATAATGCTTGCCAAACGATTTTATTCAAGCGCCTGTTTAAAAAACAACAACAACAACAACAATTTAGAAGCAATAATACATTTCACGGCAGAARTCTGGCCCCAGGATCTAAAGGGCACTGTGTGGGGACCCCAAGCCCAGCCCCATCACTCTGGACTCTGCCAACGTCATCTTAAAGAAACTGGGCATGAGAGTCTCCCTCCCTCTGCACCAGTGCAGAAGCCTCCAGGCTCTGCGGCGATCACACCAAATATTAAAGAATGGCTYGGCTCAGCTTAATCAGAGTAAGTGCAAACAAACTGGTCCTCATCATGTCTGCATTAAGAAGTTTCCAAACATCCTAAGGAAAATGACTGTGCCTTATCTTGCCTCTGTAGATTCTTCCACTTGGAATTTCAGAGCAAAAGGGTTGTAAGTAAGGATGGGGACACATGTTAGCTTGACCCCCTGTGCTCTGGGTGAGGCCACTGACGGGGACCCACAGCACATGGCTCATTCACGTCCACATGCTGAGACCAAAGCCCATCACCGATGGTGTCTTCAGAGAGGAACTGTCAACCCAAGAGCAAAGGAGGAGGTTGGAGCCAGTGGTGTTCCTGTCGGGTGGTTACAGCTGGTCTCCTTGTTACTAATCAGTGATGCTTCATTCAAAGGGTCTCACCCAGCTCTGTGTCCTTATGTTATTACCCCCAAAGCAGGCTTTGTGGGCTGCAGGGCATAGAACCCTGGCCGAGAGGAGTGTGAGTCTGGATTCCATGAAAAAAAATCTTCAACATAAGGAGGTGGGAGAATGCCACTAGAAGTTTTTACTCTTCTAGCCACAGGAGCCAGCACCTATGGAGCAGGGTTCTGAGAACACACCTCAGGTAGAGCTCTCTTGACCTGCTTGCCCATCTGGAGCCTGGGGGACAGGGCAAGAGAATCTGGAGGCGGGCATAACCAGGGACAGAGTTCACCATGTGGCTCTGGGCAGTGCCCAACTTCTTTGTCAAATGGGGACAGCAACAGTTAAAACTCCTGAGGTAGCCTGAGCACAGCACAGAATCATGTGGGACACAGGTATGTGCTCTGTAAGTGATAGCGAGAGAGGAGGAGGGAATGTGCCCGCTCTGTGCTTCTGTCCCACYGAATTGTTCTGGTTCTTTGGGGTCAATTTGGAAACTGGGTTTCTTTAATCACGTGATTCATGTAACAATAATCAAGGCTCCCAAGACTTATGGAAAAGATTTATAGTATGCATTTTGTTGTGCTCTTATTTAAAAGAAATATTCAACCCCCCCTTCAATCTCCACTTGAAAGTGGGCTCGGTGTGGTGGGGAGGGGGAGTGGACAAGGGCTCTCGCCCAGCACGGGCCTGGGCTGAGAGCTCCATATCATCCCTGTGCTGCTGGCTGAGCCCACGGGGCAGAACTTTTGAAGATGTTTTCTCGTCAATAAAACAAGGATACCATTACTTGTCCTTGGCACTGAGAGGCTGAAGTGAGAGATTTCTGATCACCTATGAAGTGACCAGAAATAACTCCATGTCCATTGTTCCCAGGTTCTAAAGAAGGGCCAGGCTTGGAAACTTGCAGACACCATTGGTAAATGTGGATCCGATTAGCTAGCACATCATCTAAGCAAGAATTCATTTATATTTCATATACACCTTATACATATAACCTGAAAGTAACTTGATAGAATATTTTAGTGTTCCTGCATTTTGGCTCTGATCTTTCATATGAGACCAGGAGTGAAATTTTCCATTTTTGGCATCATATGGGCACTTAAGACTTTTTAGATTTTGGAGCATTCTGGATTTTGGATTTTCAGAGCAGAGATGTTGAACTTGCAGTGACTGAAAGGTTTTTCACTCAGAAGTAGGAAATGGGACGAATCATTACCACATCTGTACTGGGGGGGGGGTTGCTTTTAAGAAAGAAGCACATTTTTGCCTGGGAATGGGGCGTCCCTGTCCTTCTTGAAGCCTTGGGGAAAATGTGAGCCCAGTGGGAAGAGCCTTGTGACAAGGACAGTGCCTGTGTTCGTGGTTACTTTATGATCACCAGAGTCGGGGAAGGAAAGGGGGAAGTAATTCACATTRATTGCTCTTTAGATATGATTTACATCGGCCTTGTGAGAGCCCTGTGAGATGAGTTCTATTGTAAATAAGGAATCTGAGGCTCATGAATGTCATACACTTGCCCAGCGTGAGCATCAGGGCCCCGAGGGAAACCTACAAGCTCTGTCTGACCCCAAAGCTCCAGCTGGTGGCYGTGCGCCAGGCTTGCACAGACTGGTAATTATAGGACACAAATATCTGAATCACACAAGAAAACAACATTAGAATTTGAGTGGTATTATGATGTTACATTTGGAATACTTGACTTTGAAAAATTATAACAACTAAACTGGAATTATATCAAATTTGAATGAAATGGTCAAATATACAAACACCTGCAAGGAGGAACAGATAAGGGGGAAACAAGGTTGGCCAGCCCCTGGCTCTGGAGCTAACAGCTCCGGGTTAGGAGCAGAGGTGGTCAGCAAGCCTGAGGACTGGGCAGTAGCAGTGAGTCCCCTGAGGGCCACATGCAGGTGGGCAGTAGAAAGGGCCTATGGAATGGCCCCTCCGAGGAGGTGATGGGTGCTGAGGCAAGAAGGATGGGGGGCCCAGGGCGGGACAGCAGCAAGGCAGGAAGAGGAGCTAAGTTCCTGAAGGCCCTTYGGGAAATGCCCGAAAGGAAGCATCAGAGCCATGGGGAAGGGTGAGCCTTGGAATGGCCTGTCCCACCTGTGACAGAAAGGTGGATGCTGGGGAGTACAGTGGGGGCCCTCCTTAATCCAAACATCCCCAATCCAAAACCTGTCGACCTTCCCCACCTGACACCGCAGTGGAAAATATCCAAACCACTTAACTCTGTGCACAGAATAATTTTAAATATTGCTCAAAATTACCTCCCAGCTATGTATATATGGCGTTTATGAAACCTAAGTGGTGAATTTTATTTGGACGTGGGTCTTCTCCCCAGGTTAGCTCATGTTACATAGGGAAATATCCAAAATCCGAAAAAAAAAAAGAATCCCAAATCTGAAATACTTGTGATCCTAAGCATTTTGGAACAGATGCCCTCAACCTGWGCTGAGGAGCCCACGGAGGCCACTGATGGAGCCCACATACCATGGCCTCGATTCTTAAGGGAGGCCCARTGGAAGAGGCTCCAGTTGGAGGGGGGCTTGGAGAGGCCTGTGACGGACATGGTAGGCCAAGGCCTCTTAGTGGGATGGACTGGCACTCCCTGTAGGCAGGAGTCAAGCTCTGGACTTTCTTCCTTTTTTTAAAAAAAAATTATTATGTATATTATTTATATTTTCTGTGAAGGGATACATACATTTTTATATATTAATTTAATGGTATTTATTTTATTTCTGACTTTTAAAAAATTTGTGCTTTTTAGGTATACATGACAGTAGAGTATATTCTGACACATCRTACACACGCAGTACGACTTCCCATTCTTGTGGTTGAACACGATGTGGAGTTTCACTGGTCGTGTGTTCATATACGAATGTAGTAAAGTGATATCTGATTCATTCTACCATCTCTCCAATTCCCATCCCTTCGCCCTTCCCTTCATTCCCCTTCATCTAATTCAATGAACTTCTATACCTCCCTTCCCTTCCCCCTTATTATRGGTTAGCATCCACATATCAGAGAGAGCATTCAGCCTTTGGTTTTGGGGGGCTGGCTTATTTCACTTGGCACGATAGTCTCCAGTTTCACCCATTTACCATCAAATGCCATAATTTCATTCTTCTTTGTGGCTGAGTAACATTCCATTGTGTGCAGACACCACATTTTCTTTATCCATTCATCTATTGAAGGGCACCTAAGTTGGTTCCATAGTTTAGCTATTGTGAATTAAACTGTTATAAACATTGATGTGGCTGTGTCCCTGTAGTATGCTGATTTTAAGCCCTTTGGGTATAAACCTAGGAGTGGGACAGCTGGGTCAAATGGTGGTTCCATTCCTAGATTCCTGAGGAATCTCCATACTGCTTTCCAGATTGGTTSCACCAATTTGGAGTCCCACTAGCAATGTATGAGTGCCTATACTTATTTTGAACACATAGTAGGCCCACCACAAAATGACTAGAGATTAGTAATTGCTGGCCTGGCTACATCATTGACTTTTGTGTTTTTATTTCATTTTTTCTCATATGTAGTAGAGAAAGAAAGAATAAAACAAAAAAACAAACAAAAAAAAAAAACAAGAGCCCAGCTTCCAGAAAGAAGAGCAGTCTTGCCTGAAGAATCTGGGCACAGTCCAGGTCTAAGAGCTGTGTATCAAGGATTAATTCTAYGCTGGGGTGGAAGATGGCACTGTTGAGTCAGCTTGGTCATCTTGAACTTGATACGAAAAGTTTTTGTTTTTGTTTTGTTTTTTGTACCAGGGATTGAACTCAGGGGCACTCAACCACTGAGCCACATCCCCGGCCCTATTTTGTATTTTATTTAGAGACAGGGTCTCACTGAGGTGCTTAGCTCCTCGCTGTTGCTGAGGCTGGCTTTGAACTCATGATCCTCTTGCTTCAGCCTCCTGAGCCACTGGGATTGTAGGCGTGTGCTACTGTGCCCGGAGGTACAAAAAGTTTCAAATAATAATCTATTTGTATAGAGTTGTCCCTCAGTATCCATGGGGGTTAGTCCCAGGACCTCCTGYCCACCCCCAGATACCAAATCCAAGGATGCCCAAGCCCTTCCATAAAAAGACATACCCAGTATGTCCACGGAGCCTCTCCACAGTCTCCTGTACACTTAAAATCATCTCTAAATTGCCTATAAYGCCTAGCACAGGGTAAATGCCATGTAAAYAGTTGTTCTGTGGGCATTGTCTGAGGAGTCGTGACAAGAAAACCAAGTCTATTCATGTGCAGCGCAGATGCAACGTTTTTCTTYTGCATATTTTCAATCCATGGGTCATTGAATCAGCCAATGCTGGAAAGGGAAGATGGTTTCTCGAGAACTCTCGGGAACATTCGGGTACATAAGAAGTCCCTACATAGCTGCTTATATGAATGTTGGATGATTTTTAAATAGCTGCTTCAAATTAAAAACAAACAAACAAAAACTCAAGCCAAACAAGGGCACGAGAGAAAAAACAGGCTGAAACGAATTCCGCGTCCGCTGAAGAGCGGTCGGGACTAGTACTCACTTTTCATAGGATTTAATGGCCTGCTCCACTTTCTGCTTGTAGATATTGAGTTTGACTCCTTGGGGATTGATCAGTGTCATCTTATTCGTGTCGTTGCACACGTGTGCCAGAGGAAATACCTAYAGGCCGAAACCAAAGGAAAGCAGGTGTCACTTGACAGGTCCCCACGTGCCTGCAGAGCTGGAGCTGCAGGGCCGTGGGCGGTTTTTCCAACTATAAAATCAACAACTTATAAATGTAGAAAAATGGAAGGTGGAGGGAGTCATGAACCATAAGGATCAGATGTCATTGCTAACTTTTCCCTTCCAGGTCTTAAAACTCTATATTTTAAAACTACATTTTTAAAACACCACATCATCACAACACCCMAAACACCAACACCCAAAGCCCAAAACTCTTCAGGAAACCCTACTTAGCATTGAGTATGATTTCCAAGAGCATCTATCAAGTTGGAAAGAGCAGGCAATAAAAAATAGGACTCCTTAAATATACATAATTATTACATGTTCATAAAAAATTTGAAAAAATTATTAATAATACATTATTATTATTGTATTATTGATACATATTATTAATACAATAATAACAATGTTAATATTGTATTATTATTATTATTAATACATTGTTAAGCACACACCTCACTGTTGCTTCTTTGTAAGTGACTTAGTTGAATTAAACATCTTTTTAATATATTTATTTCATATTTCCTTTTTTTGAGAATATCTGATTTTGGTTTATATCTCTTGGCTATTTTTCCTCTTGGCTGGCAAACGAGGAAGGAATAGTGGTTCCAAGACTAGCAGAGTACCAAAAATAGAGACTTTTCTGGGTTCTGCTTCCCGCACCTGGTGCTTACTTGTGGGTTTGGGATACCTCTGATTCCATGCCAGTCAATTCCAGGGAGAAAAATGGTCAACTTATCGCTGATTGGGTGGAACTTCAAACTCTGGTATCCCTCCCCAGTTCTCTCGGGACCTTTTCCATGTCAGTTTATTGGTCACCTAAGTACTCTGTCCAGGATTTATAGTTGTATTTAAGTAGAGAAACAGGGTGAAGGACTCACTCCATCTTCCCTGGAACCAGAACCCTCTATCATATTCTTCTGTTCCCAAGACTTCTTTTCATCTTAATCATTTTATATTTGCCTATTTGCATATTACCCGTCTCTCCCTAGCAGAATGTGAGCTCTGTGCAGGAACTTTGTTTCAGTCACTACTAAACTGCTACCACCTAGCACAGTACCTGGAACTTCATAGGCCCTCACCAAATATTTGTTGATAAATGGATAGACATATACTCATCAAAAGATATATTCCAAGTTGGGTGTAGTGGTGCATCCCTGTAGGCCCAGCTCCTTGGGAGGCAGAGGCTGGAGGATAACTGGAGCTCAGGAGTTTAAGAACAGCCTGGGCAATGTATAAGATTCCTATATTTAATAATAATAATAATAATAATAATAATAATGATAATAATATAGGTATATTCTATTCTTTAACATTTAAACAAAAAGAAAAAAATCGAATAGGAAAATACTAAGCTGTACTATCGTTGTTCTAAAATCATATGATATTCTGATCATAATGAACATGAAGACATTTTGGAAACGTGGAAAATTATTTTAAAAAGTAAAATTTTAAAATTTGTTCTCATTAGTTATACATGACATGAGAATGCATTTTGACACATTGTACACAAATGGAGCAYAACTTCTCATTGCTCTGAAGAAGTAAATATTTTACTTTTAATYAGGATGATAGATTTCATGGTTTTCTGTTCCTCCCTGCCACTAAAATCTTCCAAAAATTTTGTTATTATTATTTAATAAAATAATTCATAGGAAGAAAGAAAAAGAAAGACAGAAGCATAGTTGATAAAAGATGGATGTAAAAAGATGGACAGAAATGTAAATGGTGAGCAGGGCTAAAGCCGTGGCTATTGGTTCTGGCTCCAAAGATGGCGGGGCAGTGGGAGCTCAGCGCCCGCAAAGCCAGTAGGACCAAATGGGACCATGAGTGCTCTGGAAAAGAAGTCACATCAGTGACTGATGTCAACTGGCATGAAGGTCTCAGCCCCGAAAGAAGGCCCTGCCCAGTGAAAGGCCACTCCTGTGGTTTCACAACCAGGCACTAAACCAGACCACGTTTTGTCTCTGTGAGAGCCATAATATCACCATGGAACCAACRCCCTAAATGTCCATGGTGTTGTCCCTGGTGCTGAGGGCCAAGAGGATGGATTTAGGCAACTTCAAATAGAAGAGCAAAGAAAAAASAACACAAATGCCAAAAATATTAGTTGAGGAAATTAACAAACAAAACGTCAATGCACTTAAATTAATTTTATGAGCCATCTCTAAACACGACTTTAATTATTATTAAAATGACTTACAACTAAGCTGTTCAAAGACAAAAAAGATAAAACTACAAAACTTGACTCAAGTGCCACAGGAAGCGATGGATGTCAAAGAAAAATTAAGAAGTATGATTGCCCACTATTCCGATAACTTAGATGAAAAATAACAACTATATTTTTWAAAAAACTACAAAAAAATTTAAAAACCTATCTTAAAAAAATACAATGGAACTGAAACAAAGATGGATCTTAACAGAATGAATTCTAGAGCAGACAAAATAGTCTTTAAGAATGGGTGAATGATAATACYGGATGCCTTTCCCTTTCTATATCACAGAAAGGCCAAAAGCCAAGAATTATAGATAAATAGATGATAGGTAGGTATATGTATAAAGAGACTGAGAATCTTTYATATTAATAGAAATTTCAAAAGAACAGATTATCAGAGGGGCAACATTGGGGAAGTGTCCTCCAAGATTTWACAAAATGGCAGCTATATTTCTAGCTTTACCCTTCTGAGGTCTGGAGATTGCATTACCTGCCAGACCATGATTAGTCAAGCTGTTTGTGAGAAAGGAATTGGGTGTGGTCTCGGTCTCTGTAGTTTGGGGGAGGAGGTCCATCAGGCAGAAGGTCAGGGTCATCAGTGTTTTAAGGGTCAGCTTGCTTGGAGTGGGGGGTCTGCAGCTGGGTTCAGAGCTTCAGCTGTTGCCCCGTGAGGGGTCTGATGAACAGTGGCCGCCTGACTGTTTTCTGTGTCACGAGCAAATGTGACTCCATTTTGTTTTTATCCCTTGACAATAGGAGTTTTAAACCTGGAGAACAATGCTTTAGTGCTCTTTGTACTAAAAGTTTTAAAACATACGTAGAAATATAGGCTGCTATTTACCTCTGGGGGGAGAATGGGATCAAAAAAGGTGATACAGGGTCCTCAACTTTATCTGCGATGCTTTATTTATTTTAAAGCATATCTAACACAGGAATAAGATGAGGTTTACAATGACCAGCTGCGATGACTTCTCAAAATCTGGGATTCAGGGCAAGTGAAGAGAGGCGGGTAGGACTTTCTTAACTATTTAGTTCTTTTTTTTTTTTTCAAATACATAAATTAATGATTAGTTTTTGTTCAAATACATAAATCAATTTTATAATTAAACCATCAAGACTCAAACAAACCCACCAACTGGCAAAGATTTAGAAAACCAAAGAGAAAGAAATGAAGTTACAGGTCACATGGTCCAAGCCTGCTACTTAAAAACCAGCCAGTGGCTTCTGAACAATCTGGTCAAAAGGAAGAGACCAGAACACTGGGTCAAAGGTGGCACCACTAGGCTTTGAGACCGAAGCTCGTGTTCATGGGGAACAAACATCTCTCAAAATAGAGCTACGGGTCATATACACTTTCAAAGGGGAAAAAAAAAGTCATCTCTGCGGAATGAAAGACACATTTTTATCTCCCTGGGGGGGGGAACCCCCAAACTTTAGAAGTCTATAAATAGCTCTCCTAGTTTGTCAACTGATGCCTCAGCTGTAAATCCACACCCCTGAATACTTAGCAACATGACAACATTTCACCACCATCATCTGGACGCTTGGACTTAAGACACCCCATCCGTGGGCTACTTCCCTCTTTTGTGGACTTGGATCTCATGCCTTCCATGGTCATGGCCGACTTCAGTGTGGTCATTCAAATTGGCTTGTAGGCACCCACTCCTCCCCCCTTTCTGCATGCAGATCTGGGGAAAGACAAAGGCATAACCCCACACCTTCTGTCTGTGGTCTTAGTTTTTACAGCATGGTGCTGGCCCAGCAGGTCAGATGCGACACCACCCTCTTTATGATGTCGAACTTCATGTGACTCTGAGGTCATAAGGGGCGTTCTCAGGGCTGGGGGGGACCAGAAGCAAGCCACTGGGGAGGGGAGTGGGGCTCACGAGGAAGCTGAGGATAATAGAAGCCCCCGATCATGCCACTTTTGAATGTGGCTCGCTTATTAATACAGTGAGGGACCCTGTGGACCGTAGTTGATAGCAAAAGGAAGCCTCGAGGTACTGCTGCTTCCGTTTTCTTGAGGCTGACCCAGAGGCCTTACCAAATCTGTACTGAGGATCACACCCTTTGGGACAAGAGTTTGTGAGGGTTGTGTGAGTGCAGAGACAGACAGACAGGGACAGAATGAGGGAGAGAGAGAGGGAGGAGAGGTCCTGACCACAAATGCAGAGGAAACTGCTAGAATTCATGGTCAGGCCAATTTGGGCTGATGATGTTAGAAATCTTCTGTTAGATCAAATACCCAAAGGCAACCACTGAACTCAAGAGCAATTTTTTAAAATTATTTTTTTACATTCTCATGAGGTCTTCTTTTTTAAAAAAGTTAGTTCTAACTAGTTATACATGGTAGGAGAATGTATTTGACATATTTTACATACATGAATAACTTCTCATTCTTTTGGCTGTACATGATGCAGAATTACGTTGGTCGGGTAATCATACACGCACATAGGAAAATGATGTCCCATTCATTCTACTATCTTTCATATTCCCAATGCCCTCCCTTCCTTTCATTCCCCTTTGTCTAATCCAAAATCCTTCTATTCTTCCCTAACCCCCACCCCACCCCTATTGTGAATTAGCATCTGCAAATAAGACAAAACATTCAGCCTTTGGTTTTTAGGGATTGACTTATTTCACTTAGCATGATAGTCTAGAGTTCCACTTACTTACTGGCAAATGCCATAATTTCCTTCTTCTTTATGGCTAATATTCCAGT